GGAAGTTCAGTTTTGCATTGAAATCGATGGTTATTTGTGAAAAATATTTTCGATTGTGATACTATAACATTTCTGATTGTGAAGTAATTTTGATTGTGATATTGACACTTGACAGAAGTGTCAACATTTGAACATCGAAGTTCTAACATCATGGCTTGGCCAATTTTACCGATGTCATTGTCATTTTTCACGTCATTGATATAAATCTGGAAGCAACGTAAGTAAGTAAGGAATTTCCCAGTTCAAATATTTATTTATTTACTTATATCAACTTCGAAACTGTACATATTTTAAAATTGAGTTGTTATGAGACCATAACTGAGAAAATGTTGCTCAATGGGTTAGTCCAGTCGTAAATGAGACTTTCGGCCCCCGCTGAGCCGGACCGGTCGATGCTCTTGCAAACGCATAAGTACTCACAATAATTCCCTGCCACCATGTGCGGACGTACGCCGGGCGTGTGCGCCAATAATGTTATTTTAGCTCTTTGTACGCCGCATTATACGCCAGTAGAAGGGCTTGGAGCCTCGTTTACGTCGGATTAATCCGCAGAAAACAGCACCATCCTGGGTATGACATAGCAGGATAGCAGCTCCTCCAGTCCTCCTCTGAAATAATGGTGAAATTGCGCCTTAGTGCAGTAGAGCAAAGCAATGGCATCCCTGGCACTGGCAGCTCAGTGCGCTGTCAGCCTGTCTCATTGCCATTTGCCAGAGATTTTTCATTCTCTTATGTCCAGTCCAAAAATATATTGGATATATCATATATACCTTGTGGCTTGTGGTAAGTTATTAGGGATATAGTTACACTTTGAGAATTGAATATGAAGGATGTCTATTCTTCATCAGATGAATCATGCATGGATGATTGTGACTTGTGAGGCAGATCATACTATGAGCCAAGTTACTCACTGAATAGGTAGGCGGTAGGCCTATAACAACTTTCTCTGATCTAAGGAGATTATACTGAGAGTCTTGGGAGTTGGGACCATTTCAAGGCCTCGTCTACAACAAAAAGCTCTAATTCGATTACCTCAACCTCTGGACGGAGCTTTAAGCTCAGCAAAACACTTTTTTATCGGGTGAGTAATGCAGCATATGTGTATCTATATTCTATGCCCGAATCTATGGTGCCGACTGCCGGGAGGGCACCAGCCGAGTGAGCCGACAGGACAGGCGACAGCCACAACAACATAGCGAATGCATTGCATACTCTTTGGTACGCTTATGATTGTCCGCAAAAATAAATTGTTGTTCATGTTCAAATTATGATTTAATTGTAAGCTGTCATTTGAGAACGTCCATAAGAACTTTGAAATCGTTTTATTTAAATTCTCCTATACTATGGACGTAGCTTTTTACTGTTATCATATCTCAAATTACCGTGAGGCCACTGTTGGAATAGGGCCATGGCTAATGGCAACCAAAGCATAAGACCCTTTGCAGCAACTGCTGGAACGTACAACGCACCTAGAGCAACAAAGCACATATCCTTGTTAGAAGATAAGGCTTACCGGAGGGCCTAAGGATCTGGACGTTGGTTGGATGCTGTGATTATGAGTGAAAATAGCGAGGAACTGCAAAGTATGCTGGACTGTGTGACTGAGTATGGGAGGGACTTCAATGTGCGATTTAGTGAGGAGAAGAGCCAAGTACTTGTTGTGAATGGATCAATTGAGGATATGAGCAGAGAGTGGATGTTGGGAGGGAATGAGATTGTTATGACAACTGAGTATAAGTACCTAGTGAAGTGTGTGGACCATGAAGGATGTCAGAGAACGAAGGCCACGAATTTAGGTAAGGCAAGCCAATGGTTGGGTATACCTGGAAGTGCATCAAAAGTGAGAGCGAGTAGGTATGAAGTATTGAGGGAAGTGTGGAAGAGTGTGGCAGTGACTAGTATTATGTATGGATTGGATGTGACAGCATATAGTGATGGTGAGCTAGATAAATTGTAATTGGTACAGAATAGAGTGGCGAGATTGGCACTAGGAGCCCCCAGGTGGACTGCGGTAGAGGCCCTAAGAGGAGACATCATGACATGGGATGGAGTACCTTTAAGGCAAGAAGAATGAGAGCAGTTTTGAGGTATAAAGTGAGACTGGAGCGAATGGACGATGAGCGTTGGGCACGAAAGATGTATATGTGGAACATGATGGTGAGCAAATGGGCACGTAGATGCCGGGCAGTGGTGCGTAAGTGTGATATGCATGAAGCATGGGTGCGCCTAAGTCCCACGGTGCCAAAGAACGAATGGGTGGTGACAGTACGGGGTGCGATTGGGATAGAGTGGGATGAAAAAGAGTGGAAAAGAGAAGTTAATAAGCGAGTGAAAGACTGTGGGTGAAGGTAATAATAGTAATAATAATAATAATAATAATAATAATAATAATAGCGGTTTCAGCGTTTAGTAGGCTGTAGACCTGTCGACGATTCTTAACATCGCAGAACATTCACAGCATTTTGCGGTCTCGAACACGCAACTCACTGCTACAATTCTGCTGTGCTTAACCGCCCGGCCTCCTTGCCGATTCTGACCAGAAACTGGCGTACAGAGCTGGGATCGAACCCGCGCCTCTCTGCGCCAATCATGGTACTCTGAACTGTAACCACTAGGCCACCCTGCCCAGCGATGATGAAAGCGATGCCAAAATATGAATGTATGTATGATGGTAGTAGAGGTGGGGACCTTCTGTTTTGTGTTAGGGCAGGGTGTTAGGTGTGAATGGACGTACATACAGGTGGAATGAGAGGAGGGAAGATAAATGTTTTATGTGTGATGGGGATGAGAAGGAAACTGGGGAGCAATTGTTGATGGAATGTGGGGCGTATGAGAGAGAACGTCAGTCTATGATGGAGGTGATTCTGAATGAGAGAGGTGAGGTTAACGAAGTGGGGCATGAGAGAACAAGCAAAGAGTGGATGGCAATAATTACGGGTCTGTCTGAGGGAGCAACTGCGGCTGTGTTTGGGAGTGTGAAGAGATATTTGGAAAACGTGTGGAGGATGATGAAGAAGAGGAGGGATAAGAGTGGGGTCTTGAGAAATGGAGGGTTGAGAGAGAGGAGGGTGGGACAACAAATGTGACCGTGCTGAATTGTTTTAGCACATTGCTTGTTTCTCTTTTAGGATGCTGCATAACGAAATTGTTAAGCTTATTTTCTTAGGATTGCTGTGAATACGTTTTGTAATTGAACCTTTTGATAACATACGAGTGTGAACTTTTAATTTTTTGATGCTAGTAAAAGAGCTTTTAGTAAGCGTGTGTGACCGGTTTAAAGGTCGTGACCGAAGGTCACCACGCACCCCAATTCCGTTCCGTGTTTGGAACACAGGCGCCTCAAAGTAGACCTAATTGAGATCTCCAAATATATGCATGGGCACCACGATGTGGCCAGGCCGGGTTTCAGACTGGTGCCAAGCAGGGACATACGAAAAATTCTATGAAGCAGCAAAGCCAGAATCGCCTCGACGTTTGAGCAATTTTTTTTCTCAGGGCGCACGGTCAAGACATGGAACAGTTTGTCTGACCCATTAGTAACGGTACCATTAGTAAACGAATTAAAACGTTATTTTGACTTTCTTTTAGAGGATATTCCTGCAGTCTATTCGCCATCATGCCAGAATGTTTATTAAAAACCTTAAAACGCCACTTTCAGTATTAAACGAATGGGAGGAACGAACAGGCCTCTACGAGGCCTCAATCGTTATCAAGTCTACCTATAAATAAGTGAGTGAATGCACGAATTGGCACAGCTTGTCGCAGCAGGAATTACACAGATAACTTATCATTCAGTACTAATTGAAAATAATATTCAAGTTCCAGGTCCACAGTTCGCAAACAACTTGCAAACTGGCATTGCGGTGTGAGTTACATTGAGTAAATCTCATCAGGGTACCTAAAATTAATTGCACGTAGAAAAGTCTTTCAAAATATTCTCAATGAATTTTAAACGGCTACAATGATGTATAAATAAAAAAATAGAGATGCAGGTTTTCTTCTTATAACTTCATTCATTTTCAAACGCAGAGTTATCGTGCGCTATTATGGATGAAAAACGCCGAAGAAGAAGGGTAATTAAATCATTTAGCAAAAATTTAATTGTTGCGAAGTATGATTATTCTGCTTGTAACGATTGCTGTTTCTAGTGTTCGAGTCTAAAATGAAATTTTCTTGATCAGACAGACTACGCTGATTCATTAGAGGAATTAATAAGCTCGTTTTCATCACGATCGCTAGTGTCTCTCGGAATAATTCGCTGTATTGCCAGCAGCCTTATGTCTAATTAATTTTAGAAGCCATTTGCCTTATAAGAGCCATAGTCAAATAGGAGTTCAGACACTTGTGTTCGGGAGACGTGAAGCGGGGAACAGATTACCAAATTACACTATCGGCATCGAATAATGATAGTAGAATTATAATGTGACAATGATTATAGCGGGATAATGGGTTTTCTTTGCAGAGGCGATGAAATATTACCGGAGTCATGCCAAGTAGCCTCATTTATTATGACGCATGGCATTCGACTCCAGCCTAATTACGATTTGGTCGTCTACTACGATGATTGAGATTCAGAACATGGTTTGGGATAGTTTTAATAGCGTTAGAAAATTTTGTTGGCATGCTTCGTTACAAAAAGAAGGAAGAATGCTCACTATTTTAAAGGGCTTTCTAATCATAAGCATCTTGAAGGAATGTGGATGTTCCCTCCAACACGGGTGGCTCTATGCTACGTGGCTGCCCACCCCTCTCCCCCCCCCGGTGCAAAAATTCCATTAATTAGTCACTGCGCCGGAGAAATAATACGTGGTCACCACAGCAACACGTTAAAATTAGACGTGGTCACCCTGAAGTCACCCCAGCAACACGGAGAAATTAAACGTAGTCACCCTGAGGTCACCCCAGCAACACGGAGAAATCATACATCGCGACCGTCGTAAATGATTCCATCAAAGCTATAAAATCCGATTGCTATTAGAAAAAGGTTATGATACATGCTATTAGAAATGATTCCCCTTTATTCATTCACATCGTATAAAAATAGAATGTTTTTGCGTATCAAAACAACCTTAGTCACGTTTACTTATAGTAAAAACTAGTTACGAACTAATATTAAAATGGAAGGCTGCCGAATGCTGTTATCCCGATATTATTAACTATGCCTAAATATCCTAAAAGTTGCTAGGTGTTTAAGGTGTAGCAAATATCCTTGTTTGTTTCGTAAAATCGATGAAAATAATTAAAACTAATAAAAGATTGCACAATGTTCAATATTGATGATGGCAGATCAAATTCTGTAATATCCTTTAGAGACATCATCACCTTTATTATCAGGTACAGCATTTATTCCGTAAAACTTGTATTTGTTAAAAAGTTCACGACGTGCGATACATAAAATATGATAAATACAAATCATTTCATGAAGAAACTATCCATGAACGAAGAAATTATCCGCCGCTGAGCGCCTAATTAGCTCAGGAAAATTTATGGTTTTATGGAGCTGATAACGTATGTCCGTTATCAGATCCGTTATAGTATCGTTATCAGTTATCGGTACATTATCATAGTAAAGTATATTCGTTATCGGACTATGGAGCTGATAACGTATATCCGTTACCAGATCCGTTATAGTATCGTTATCAGTTATCGGTACATTATCATAGTAAAGTATATTCGTTATCGGACTATGGAGCTGATAACGTATATCCGGTATGATACGTATATACGTATCATACCGGACGCTCTAGAAGCACCAATAGAAAGCACCGATGAAGAAATTAAAGTTACTTAGTGGTCAACTGGTTGCGCTTCAAGGAAACGCTTCTCACTTTCTCGTAAAATTAAAAACCGCAAAAACTTATAAGTTAACTATACTCTTTTATGGTACGTAAATAAAGATGTATATTTTAATGCGAGGAGCTGAGCAAAATAATGAAAATGAACTAGGACCATATTCTGTATTAGGTAGGCTTGTTTAAAGGAAGAATAGGTTAAGATTGTTCAATGTTAAAGGGCTCAGCAGCTGTACGATCACAAATTCATCTCGAATATATTTGCGATGGGAACGTCCATTACAATTTTCAGCTTCAAAAGACTAAATAGTGAAGTTTAATTCTATTAGGGCAATAATAAAATATCTAATGCAATTAACAACAATATTACGGTTATACCTTAGTCCAAACCTGATGACCTTCTTGCATAAGTTATTGGCCTTTGATTTCAAAATATTCATTTCTTCGCCATTGGCCGCAGAGTTTAACGTGCTCTTGAGCCACCGTCAAGTGTAAAACTTAGCAATGATTTTTCTACGACCCTCAGACTGCGATTTTAGTTACGGCGCCACAAAACTATGCCATATTCATTTGAATTGGTCTGCAATCTCTTTAGACAAAACTCTTAGTTGAAAATTGATCATTATTTTCTCAGAGGACATTCCTCGCTGGCTTGCCCCTGTGCTGCTTTGGCATGAAATAATCTTCTATTTGTTCCAGCGTCCTGCCTTTGGTCTCGGGCAACCACCAACTAATTATTACTCCTGACAGGCTGAACGCGGCGTACATCCAGAACGCTGCGTATGAACTGAAGTGTCTCAGCAGCATGGGGAATGTGAGGCTTATGATGAAGGCGAAAAGGGAATAGGCCGTGACGGCGACGCCGTTACCTAAAGTCCTCACGGCAAGAGGAATGAGTTCCCCAGACAACAGCCACGGGATGGGGCCGTAGCCGAGCTCGTTGAAGAACACGTACAGCAGGAGGGAGGCTAGAGGCAGCCACCCGATGTTCTGCAGTAAGGCGATAAAATAATACTGATTATATGAACTGGTGGAAAAATCATGCGAAAATAAAAATAATAAAGTTCTTATCGTGCAACGAGCATAACAAGTGTTCATCGCTCTGGGTCATTTGAGTTGATTGCATACATACCGTGTTACCTATCCACACGCCAGCAAGCTCAACTTGGAAAGCATGACGTCGTACGCTATGAAAGTGAATATGGAATCATTTTTATCATTAACACGACTGAATTATAAAAGTTCTGCCATCTTATTGTCCACTTCTCTTCCTCCCTCACCTGAGCGGCGTCGTGCACTTCCTTGACGTAGAAGAAGACGCCGATGGCCAACATGCCCACCGACGATCCCACCGCTGACACCATCAGCAGCGGCCGTCGTCCCACCCTGTCCAGTAGCGCTGCTGACACCAGCGTTGACACAAACCTGTTCATCATCGTGCCTTAGTTTAGATAACACTTTAGATCGTTTGTTTTAACCTAAAAAATGCGTTGATTGTTGTATTATATTTGCCGTATAGATTTTATTACAGAGAGGGAGTTATTGCACATACTTCATTTGTCGCATTTGTAGTGCTGGACACTGACCAGCGTAACTTATGCTCAACCTTCTATCAAACTAGATGTCAACTTCGCTTCAGGGTTTTATTACGTCAACATAGCTTCACCCAACGTTGTCTATAACCTCCCGCATCTTCACCCCAACTACCGGCGCCGACCTTCATCATCACCTGACGGTGCCGACGATGATGGTGGATGTATAGGAGTCGATGCCGGTGTTGGCTGCATTGAAGATGGTGACGGTGTAGTTGACGACCACAGCAAAGCCACTGAACTGACCGCACATGAACACTAGGAACACCACCAGGATGGGCTTCCAGTTCTGCGGCAGCCTGCGCATGACGAACGCTGCATCTCAGGCATTGTTTATCTCATCGCAAGTGCTTAGGCGGTTATGAACGTTATACTGATGTGTAACGTGATACTGATGTGCAACGTGTTTCATTGATAACGTGATACTGATGTGCAACACGTGTCATTTATAACGTGATACTGATGTGCAACGCGTGTCATTTATAACGTGATACTGATGTGCAACACGTGTCATTTATAACAAACATTTCGGTACCAGAATTAAGTCTTGTAGAACTCATTTGAAAAGTTTGGTGGATGACGTTATACTCGTAGGAAATTTTGGTGCTTAAAGGTAATCTCATTGGAATATTTTGACGTACTGTTAAAATCTCAGTTGAATAGTTCAGAGTTTTAAGTTAATCTCACCAGAAAAGACTGGTGTTTTAAATTAATCTTGCTGTAAATTTTTGGTGTTTTTTTAGTTAATCTCACTGCATAAGTTTGATCATTTAAATTGAGTTCAGTGAAAAAATATCAGTGTTTCTAATTGATCTCAATGAAAAATTCTATTGTCGTACGTTAGTTTCACCGGAAAAGTCTTGCGCTCTAAATTAATCTTACTGTAAATTTTTAGTGTTTTTTTACTTAATCCCACTGGATAAGTTTGATGGTTTAAGTTAAGGTCAGTGAAAAAAGATCAGTGTGTCTAATTGATCTCAATGAAGAATTCTGTTGTGGTACGTTGATCTCACCGGAAAAGTTTAAACTGCTCGATAATGGAGATCTCGGCCCCGTCCTTGGCGACGATGTTCTCCCTGATCATCGCCACCTCGGCCTGTGCGTCGTAACCGCGGCCGCGGAAAAAACTGCCAAGAAATTTAAACACAAACACATTTGAATAAAAGCTTCAAAAATAAAAGCCAAATATTTGCAGGATTATCGATCGCAGCAAATAAAAAGATTAAATACCAAATTTATATAAAGAAACTAGTATTTTAAAATATTTAGAAGCAAGTGATTCAATGACCAGCAAGTAATTTCAGGCACGGCCCACTCCCCAGACATGACACACTCCCCAGACATGACACACTCCCCAGACATGACACACTCCCCAGGCACGACCCCCTCCCCAGACATGACAAACTCCCCAGACATGACACACTCCCCAGACATGACCCACTCCCCAGACATGACCCACTCCCCAGGCATGACACACTCCCCAGACATGACCCACTCCCCAGACATGACCCACTCCCCACACCACAGACGCTCCTGTTAACCCACGCGACAGATTTATGGGCGCGGTTTAGGCGGCCGCGCTTGGTAAGCCACTGCGGCGACTCAGGCACGGCGAGCATGGCGAAGAAGAGCGGGAGTCCAGGCACCAGTGCTGATGTCACCGCCAGCAACCGCCACCCCATCATGTTCCTGAGGGCGTCATGCGCTGTGTTACTAAACGCACACGTCCAGTCACGAACACCTTCAGGAGTTACGTCCCAGGTATTGTGGATACAAACCTACCAACTTATTAGTGGTTAATATAAGTGAACGCTAACTAGACTATGTCAGATATTGTTCTTCTTAGAGGTTGATCTAAGTGAACACTAATTAGACTACATGAAATATTGTTCTTCTTAGAGGTTGATCTAAGTGAACACTAATTAGACTACATCAAATATTGTTCTTCTTAGAGGTTAATCTAAGTGAACACTAATTAGACTACATCAAATATTGTTCTTCTTAGAGGTTGATCTAAGTGAGCGCTAACTATAGACTACATCAGATATTATTCAAGGAACCATGCACTAGCCTGCTATGGACCACTGTAATCAGTAGTACTGGTAAGACAAGATATGTCTGCTCCTGATATAACTTGCCGATAAAACAGGATATTTTATGACCGCTTATTATTACATTGACAATGTCCGATCACGAGGCTGTAGTTATGTAGTTACCTTATGTTAACAACTTGTCTTAATGAACAAAATAATAATATTAATAAATGACAATAAAAAATAAACTGTCTTAACTAGTAGTGATGGCAAGGTGAGGAGAGAGCAGATCAACTAAAGGCTACCAGACGAAATGTTAGATCATTAGTTGCAAATAAATTAACATATCTATTATCGATATTTTTTTCTAGCCATTAAGTCATTTCAGAATCTCTTGATCAAATGAGATTAATATTTGATCTGATACATAGTGATGAATCAACGAACGTTGATTACGAGTTGGTTTCGTTCGTTGAAAGAGGTCATATATAGGGTTAAATTGGAGGTTATAACAGAGGTTAAATGCGAGGTCATATACAAGGAAAAATTTGAAGTACTAGGAACTATTAGGTCATATATGAGGTGATATAAGAGGTGATATAAGGTGATATAAGAGGTGATATAAGGTGATATAAGAGGCAGCAGAGACCCGAAGACGTAGCAGAGCATGGAGCCCAGCGCCGCCGCCACCTCAGGGAACGCCCCCAGCAGCCCGCGGAGGTTGGTGGTGACTCGGTTGGGCAGGGATAACACGTGTTGGGGAGGGTGTTGATGACAGATCTCCGGAGACTTTTTTATACACATGTGGAGGAGTTATTTTTCATACGCTTGTGTAGCGAATTATATAGTGAATAACCTGTATGAGGTACGTGTTATTAATGTGGTGGGGGAAATTGAAAGAGATACGTCTGCAGGGAGGGCTGGTGTTACAGTAGAGGGCTATCGGCACGACAACATCTAACTACACATCGCTTCACTTAGAACTATGGGAGACCTTTGAACTTGGGTATTGGGTTCTGAAAGACACCCCTCTCCCCAACAACATCCCTTTATAAACACCAAAAACCATATGCGGACATAGGAGTGTATGTGCAAAGTAATCAATACATAAGTCAAGCTGCATCCACTACCGTAATAATACCCAATATTTTCCTTTTTTGATGCCCAATAGCCCCACGCAAGGGGCGCTCACCTGGGGCACGGGGGAGTACACTCCGAGGAAGACCCCCGTGAGGGCGCGCCCCACAAGCAGCATGGGGACGGAGTTGGCAAAGGCGACGAAGCCCCAGGACAGGACGCAGGGCAGAGACATCACCAGCAGCGTCATGCGGGGGCCCAGTTTATCCATGACCACGCCCCCCACCAGGGAGCCTGCGATCGACGTGATCGCTGGCAGCGACGCTGAGGGCGCACGATCAGGCGTCAGAACTGAGCAAGCTTCGGTGAAAAATGAAATGCATATGGAAATTAAAATATTTCAGTTGGAGGATAAATAAACGGGTTGCCAATCCACTGCGCCTGGCTGGCTTCACCATAGTTTATGGACCCACCAATCCACTGCGCATGGCTGGCCTCATCATAGTGTATGGACCCACCAATCCACTGCGCGTGGCTGGCCTCATCATAGTGTATGGACCCACCAATCCACTGCGCATGGCTGGCCTCATCATAGTGTATGGAGGTGTCGTTGGAGAGCTGCGGTAGCACCATGGACGAGTAGCCCGCGATGAAGCCGAAGGACACAGCGCTCAGAGATGCCATGCACGCCGCGATGATCTGCAACACTCATCCATTATTTGTCGTGCATAAAGCACGAACTAAAATTTTCGTGAATATGTGAGGTATAAAAAGGAAAACGACTTGAATTTTGTTTCTCAAGCAGAAACTTCAGAGATGAATGTCTAAATTTGCGACTTTGCAGGGAATTACTTGTGGAGTCACGCTGGTCAATCAAGATGATATAATGTTTTTAAAATGTTAGGTATATTTATTCTAGTGTCTCAAGTTCAATGACCGAAAACTTAGATCTGGCGTTGAGACAGCCCACATGTAAAAATATACTAGCGTTTGTTATGTATTGAAATAACTTGTTTGCTTAAATCGCAAGTTAATCAGGAATTTATTAGCAAAGACAATACCACAAAAATTCTACATACCTTTATAAGAGAAAACATTCGGCAGCCGATGCCAGAGAACATTGATACGGTTAATTTTTGTGGTATTGCCATTGCTTTTAAATTCCAGGGCTTGCTAATGTTTGTTGAAATAAGTAAAGATAACCAATTAAAAAATTAAATTCGGTTCCTCAGGTAAAAAATAAGTAAAGCTGCATAAGATTCCTCATAAAACAATGGACAAATCAGAATAAAAAAGACTCAGTTGTCATGCTCCTGAATCGGTAATTATAAATGAATTAACTTCATGCAGAGCTAATTTATAGAATAAATGAGAAGAATGCGAAGTTAACAAGTTATCCACCTGTCGGACAGGCCCGCGTCTGGATGTGGACTGGAAGACGGGCGCGTCATCCCTCAGCTCCCGCCCGCTCCCCGACACACACATGGGCGACATCTTGGCTGCTGCTTCTTCAGGAGGAAGAAGCCCTTTGAGCTCGGGGTACAACAACCCGTTCGCAAGTGCATTCCCCTCATTAGTCGACATGTTTAATGTTAGCCTTCCTTTTCACAGCATCAATGTACACCACACAACATAAAGGTATAGTAGTGTAGATGAATACAGGAAAAAATAACGTTGCACAATCCTCAACTACCCAACAATCTTATCATTTGATAACAATCTTATTTAATAAATAGAAATTTATCAACAATTATTTTCAACTGTAAATATAGATATTTTTTCTATATCCATGCTAACAACGTTGAACAAAGGATGGCGTTTGCTTTCCTTTAAAATGAAAACCGGACAACTAAAAACTTGCTTTGCACTTGCTAAAATTTGAATTAAATTAATTAAAAGACATTTGCTTGCGAAGTTATCATAAATGATTCTGAAATTGACATGAATCGCTCGAATCAATAACAAACATTAATATATCTGTTGCCATGACTGTAGTTCAATTTCCGTGGATTTGTTCGGGGGCGGAAATATACGGAGCGTTGGCACCAGGCGACATTGCGTACCAGTGTTGCCCTACACTCATGAATCTACAAACAATCAGCAATATGTCCAAGAAATTACGACAGCATTAATGACCTAAATAAAAATTACTGCTTATTGCGGAGTTAATCCCATTGCAGTTTTATGAAATAAATTTCTAATGTCTAACTTATTAAAAAATCATGAGAGGACTGAGCGAAAACGTAAAACATTTCTCGTTCAGTCACTCTTAAACTCAAATTATATCTGAATGCACAATATCTCAATGCCTTGGTCATTTATTGTTGCAGCTGTGGCCACGGTAGTGGACGTTATTGTCACGGCAGTGGCCACGGTAGTGGACGTTATTGTCACGGCAGTGGCCACGGTAGTGGACGTTATTGTCACGGCTGTGGCCACGGTAGTGGACGTTATTGTCACGGCAGTGGCCACGGTAGTGGACGTTATTGTCACGGCTGTGNGCTCTGGCAACAGTAGTTAGGCTCTGGTAACCGTAGTTAGGCTCTGGTAACCGTAGTTGGGCTCTGGGAACCGAAGTTAGGCTAACCGAAGTTAGGCTAACCGTAGTCAGGCTCTGTTATCGCTGCTGTGAAGTGTGGTAGTTAGGTTGTAAGCCTAGTGCGCGTGGTAGTGTCTTGCTCTAATATCCGGTGAACGCTGATTTCAGGAACCTGACTTGAATAACATCCAACATTATAATACAAAGAGTCACAGTCAGTCGCAAACACTACATCATAAATGCGTGCTGAAGATTTGCAAGTTATGTAACTATAAGACTGTCCTACTCTGCAGCCTCTAGGTTCTGTCTCTTATACACATCTAGATGTGTATAAGAGACAGTGGTTATACTGAGGACATGACTGGTGGTGAGACTGAGGACATGACTGGCGGTTATACTGAGGACATGACTGGTGGTGAGACTGAGGACATGACTGGCGGTTATACTGAGGACATGACTGGGGGTGAGACTGAGGACATAACTGGCGGTTATACTGAGGACATGACTGGTGGTGAGACTGAGGACATGTCTGGGGGCGAGACTGAAGACATGTCTGGGAGCGAGACTGAAGACATGTCTGGGGGCGAGACTGAAGACATGTCTGGGGGCGAGACTGAAGACATGACTGGGGGCGAGACTGAAGACATGACTGGGGGCGAGACTGAAGACATGTCTGGGCGAAGGCAATAATGTGTGCGTTGAAATAAAGTACGCCTGAGACTCAGGGATACCCAGACGGCTTGCTCTGTTATCGGGTACCAGCTGCAACTCATCAAGTGTCTCACTAGCAGTTGTGAACTGCTGTGTTGACAATTACTCGTGTAATTGTCAATTACTCGTGTAATTGTCTGTGTTGACAATTACTCGTGTAATTGTCAACACAGACGTTGTAATCTGTGTTGTAATATGTAATTAATATTTCGTCTGATAAGATGGCAGTAAGTGACAGATAAGAGGGCAGTAAGTGGCAGATTAGAGGGCAGTAAGTGACAGGCAAGAGGGCAGTAAGTGACAGACAAGAGGGCAGTAAGTGACAGACAAGAGGACAGTAAGTGACAGACAAGAGGGCAGTAAGTGGCAGATTAGAGGGCAGTAAGTGACAGATAAGAGGGCAGTAAGTGGCAGATAAGAGGGCAGTAAGTGGCAGATAAGAGGGCAGTAAGTGGCAGACAAGAGGGCAGTAAGTGACAGACAAGAGGACAGTAAGTGACAGACAAGAGGGCAGTAAGTGGCAGACAAGAGGGCAGTAATTGGCAGATAAGAGGGCAGTAAGTGGCAGATAAGAGGGCAGTAAGTGGCAGACAAGAGGGCAGTAAGTGGCAGACAAGAGGGTAGTAAGTGGCAGATAAGAGGGCAGTAATTGACAGATAAGAGGGCAGTAAGTGACAGATAAGAGGGTAGTAAGTGGCAGATAAGAGGGTAGTAAGTGGCAGATAAGAGGGCAGTAAGTGACAGATAAGAGGGCAGTAAGTGACAGATAAGAGGGCAGTAAGTGGCAGATAAGAGGGTAGTAAGTGGCAGATAAGAGGGCAGTAATTGACAGATAAGAGGGCAGTAAGTGACAGATAAGAGGGTAGTAAGTGGCAGATAAGAGGGTAGTAAGTGGCAGATAAGAGGGCAGTAAGTGACAGATAAGAGGGCAGTAAGTGACAGATAAGAGGGCAGTAAGTGACAGATAAGAGGGCAGTAAGTGACAGATAAGAGGGTAGTAAGTGGCAGATCAGAGGGTAGTGAGTGGCAGATAAGAGGGCAGTAAGTGACAGATAAGAGGATAACGAGTACAGCTTTGCTGATAACATCGTTATTAACAGCAAGTTATTCGTCTCACTCCAGCCCTACTTGAGAACAATAAATAAAATGTCCGATATATCTGCGTACGTTAAAAAAATCAGCTTTTGTTGTAAAATGCCCATGCATTTACAAATCTACGTGATTTTTACCACATGACTACGTACGTCATTTTGATATTTAATACTCTAGATTGATGTATTGTGAGAATAAATAAAGGTTAGTCATGAAATTGCATGCTGTGATGTCGCGGTTATTTGCTGTAAACCATTAGCCAGCTATTGTTTATCGTGAATATTTTGACCGATTAATTAATTGCTTTAATAGCATAAGCACAACGTGACATTGCAGGGCACAAATACGTGATAAAATCTTAAACAATTAATAAATTACAACAGAAATACTCATAAAATTCCTCTGCTTATCAAAAGTGAACTGATTTATAAACACTCATTCAATAATAAATGATAAAAATAAAATAATTATTCCAGTGACCAATTACTACGTTCCTTTAGTAAACAATCACTAAAATCTTGAATTATTCGTAAATATTCAATTAATTGCAACCCTGAAACTACATTTTTTCCCTGAATACAATTTAAGTTCGTCTTTGAAGCTCGTAATTAATTTAGAAGCATGATCAATTGCCCACAACACGCACGTTCCTTCACGACACCAAGCTACCGAGGGTGAAAATCTAGATTGTCACGTCACTTTACATGTTTAGTGAGCGAACGACGTATCAATCTAATGCGAGTCACGATCGCAATTATCACGTAAATCAACGCAAAGTTAATTAACACTTAGTGTTAATGCACTTGTCTATTATTAATTAATTGAATAATTAATTCAGGTCTATGCAAGGCATAGACCAGAAAATCCCGTAAGGTAGCAAGTACCCTGAGTTCATTTTGGGGCACCAACCTAAGGCTATGCTGCAGGCACCACCTTTGACGGCGACCGAGTGCGCCCACCAGCGACCCTGAGAAATGAACTAAGGTTCGAACCCACGGCTAGCTCCTCTCATCTCGGTGTCGCGACCAATGCGCTTTATAGACTTCACAATGCATGTGGACAAATAACTAATAAATCTTATCTGCCACTTTTTACCTTCGAACATTTGGCTGCAAATATCAGAGAAGTACGAAGCAGGTAAAAGACAAAGATGCAAAAGTAGCCCGTATTATATGTAGATATAGCGCAGAAAGTAACTCGCTACTCAAACGTATCCACCAACATTCGTATTGGTGTACACGAGAAAAATACTGTGTAAACGCTGCGCAAGAATCTTGCCGAGTCTCCTGCATCTGCACGCATAATTATTAAGCTCCAAGGCTATGCAAGCGGGCATAATTTATGCATAGTGAAGCAGTTCAGACAACCTCATCTCTGTATCATTCTCATCTATAAGAGCTCGAATGATGACCGGAATATCCACCCCCCCAACTCCCTGAGATTCATTAATGCATTCAACAGCCGGCGTCCGATAAGGAAACCTGTACAAGATGGACCGCATGGCGCCAGCCCGACGCAGGACTTCATCCACATACCCAGACACTCCAAAATGTTCCAGAATGTTGTTCTTATAAATGTTGTCCAGCAGCCTCTACCTTACCAGCAAATAATGGATAAACGTTAGGGATCTAATCTGTAATACTTCAGCCTGGCATAATTTCCGAAGAGAGCGCATTTAAAATGAGCAATGTAAGTGCCAAGTCACAGTAACCACTGACTGGTAACGGCAAAGGTTATATTAGTATTGTTGACGTATAGGCGCATCAACAACGGCAAGTCGTCCACAATCACAGTGGATTGTGGCGACGCCCGTAATCCTGTTACAGGATCTGTACACCGCAAATGCTAAGCCAGCATCAGGGTCAAGATCCAAGGACATAGCGATGCACTTGGCGTGGGGGCCTCTGCGCCACAGCTTCCGTGATAATATGTACCCAGAGAACATTCGGCAGCTGATGCCAGAGACCATTAGGCAGCTGATGCCAGAGACCATTCGGCAGCTGATGCCAGAGAATGAGGCTGCGCACACGTGCCACGCACGCAGATGAGGCAGTGTACACGAGCTACGAAAGCATATGAGGCAGTCATTCAAGACGAGGTCCTCAAAGTTTTCCTATCCTATATCACACGTGCCTCCTGTTAAGCTCATCAGTGCCCCGACATCTGCTTCAGTGATCTGCCTCGAAATCTAAATTAATTATTCCCTTTTTATTTGTAACTGTAGAGTTAGCTCCAATAGTTCATGCTACTATGATAATGATAATGGCATAATGATACTTGCATATATTTTTCTTACATTTAATAATCAAGTTGTCCCGAGCAATGAATATCACTGAGCAGGGAGTTGTCCATAGCTCACGTCTGATACAGTCTGACTTTTCAGCATCGTAAGTCGTAGTTTGTGTTTGGTTCTTTCACGTTCCTCAGCGCACTGCAATGGCGGACCACAACGCGTACAAGAGAACCGGCGGCGACCCACAAGGTTCTCTTGTTATCAGTAATGCGAGTGAACCCTTTTCATGAACCCAGATTAGCTCTTCCTGCCCGCGAGGTCAGGGCGTTCCGCCTGGGTACAGTCAACTACAGTGCATCAATCATCACGCGGTCGGTAAGCGATCGGGAAATAAAAGTTACGGTCACCGCACTTAATTGCATCTCGTCTATCGTTCTTTGTTGAAACGGAAGGCTCTGGAAACCGTAGTTAGGCTCTGGTAACCGTAGTTAGGCTCTGGTAACCGTAGTTAGGCTCTGGTAACCGTAGTTAGGCGTTGGTAACGGCAGTACCGTAGGCTCTGGTAACCGTAGTTAGGCTCTGGGAACCGTAGTTAGGCGTTGGTAACGGCAGTACCGTAGGCTCTGGTAACCGTAGTGTAGGCTCTGGTAACCGTAGTTAGGCTCTGGGAACCGTAGTTAGGCGTTGGTAACGGCAGTACCGTAGGCTCTGGTAACCGTAGTTAGGCTCTGGTAACCGTAGTTAGGCTCTGGTAACCGTAATTAGGCGCTGGTAACGGCAGTTAGGCTCTGGTAACCGTAGTTAGGCTTTGGTAACCGTAGTTAGGCTCCTGGTAACAGTAGTTAGGCTCTGGAAACCGTAATTAGGCTATGGTAACCGTAGTTAGGCTCTGGCAACAGTAGTTAGGCTCTGGTAACCGTAGTTAGGCTCTGGTAACCGTAGTTGGGCTCTGGGAACCGAAGTTAGGCTAACCGAAGTTAGGCTAACCGTAGTCAGGCTCTGTTATCGCTGCTGTGAAGTGTGGTAGTTAGGTTGTAAGCCTAGTGCGCGTGGTAGTGTCTTGCTCTAATATCCGGTGAACGCTGATTTCAGGAACCTGACTTGAATAACATCCAACATTATAATACAAAGAGTCACAGTCAGTCGCAAACACTACATCATAAATGCGTGCTGAAGATTTGCAAGTTATGTAACTATAAGACTGTCCTACTCTGCAGCCTCTAGGTTCTAGAAAACTAGCACACGTGGAGAATATAATCAATATCAGCTTGTTAGCGCATTTTCTCATTTATGGAAAAAATGCACTATTGTGCTCGCCATGTCCGTCCGTCTGTCTGTCTGTTCATTCGTGACTTCACGTTTTCGTCGACGAGAAAATGCGCTCTCTGTCAATCACTGCAGTGAGTACTGAGTTATATTTTTACCTACTATACTTACTGGCACTATCAATACTTTATTACTACGGTATACGACTATACGTATATTTTGGGGCGTATTACATTGCTACCATAACGATAAGAAATAATTATCGTCGCTATTCGAATGAGATGTAACGACAATGGGCATCTTGTCGCTAAATATTACGCGCTGACAGTAAATGCGCTGTTGACTCGAAACCATTTACAACAATAATTTAAGCTTTACAAGCAAGCTGGACACGTAAAAAATTATTAGCACTGCATGATCCACATCTGAAGTCATTAGATATATTTTAAAGGCTAAACGCTAGTCAAAAATATGCTAGACACTTTAATTTGGCTGTTGCCGTCTGGGCCAAAGGGCATTTTGATGTTAGTGCCAAGATAGGCACCACGTGTCTGCATCGTGGACTGGAGCCGCGAGACGCGCACACCTCACTACCGTGGCCGCATCGTTACTGACTTGTGATCTGCGACTGTGAGACAGACTCTCTGAGAGTCTGTATTGTTTGAGGCGTTACAAGGAGGAAGAATCGTCCGAATCGAATCTGGTTCCTCACTAAATTTGATATATACGCAATTTATAAATACTTGAAAGTTCTATAAAAATGCTCAAATGCATTATTTAAAAGATTTTACGTTGAAAATATGAGCGAATCTTTCATGTTTCTACGTGTAGAAGTTTTCATTTATTACGCTTCAAAATACAGAAATTTTTCATTTCATTTACGGTAGATTTAAACTTTAAAAGGTTATGCAACTTTCTGCTTATTATATATTGAAGTGAAAATACATGTAAATTAGTCAATAGATACTTATTTGCTACAAAGAATGACAAGAATATGTTTATTTATTTATCTATTGGGTATTTCCTTTACCTGAGATTCCCAAATCGGAAAGATTTGTTTCGAGTCACATGTTGAAATATTACGAAATAATTAAAAATTATTTTTCCAGTCACTTGTATCAATATTCACCAACTTTCATATTCACTGTCACAAAGTTGACTTAAAATATGAAAAATACCTTGTGCTTCGTGATCCAAAGAAGCTAGAATGCAAGGCTCCTCCTTCGAGCAAATCAGTAGACTGAACCCTGAAGGCGAACATTTTCTCAAAAAAAATACTACTTTTGCGCAAGGCCTCTTCTTCTCTGCAAATTAATGTCCGTTATTGGTAGCACTCGATTGGTGGCTGCAGAGCTTAATATGATCGCAATATCACCATCATCTACCTATTCCTTTGTGATCTTTTAGTTTAGCCAAATTAAACAACAATCTCAAACCAAACTACTTTTAATAAAGCAATTTTTAAATAAAACAGATACTCAATAATCAAAATAATTCGTAGAAGTTGACCTTGTTGCTTATCACTGAACTATAATCACTGGGCCACCTTGCCCCTGTCAATCATAATTACAATTGTTGATTTATTTTCTGAGACCTGAGACCTCAACCTCTATTGACAACTTTTTCCTCGGGCGCAATTACGCAACAAATTCATTTCGACGAGCTTGCTATCCTTAGGAGAACAAGAATATATGAAGGGACAAATACTAAATATACTACATATATATTTACCATAATCGTAGTTTCTGTCATACATAGTTAAATACTGTTGGTGACCACTGCAGCTTGAAGTAGCTGCAGCTTTATGTATGATCATTTTTGCTAAAGAAGTTCTCTATTTTTTGGCCTGCAGAAAAATTAGTAAATTATTTTTAATTTCTATGTGCGTTTGACTCGTCCCAACATTTCACAATAATAGTTCATACATACAGACCTGTGAGTATCAGGGATTGGAGCAGATAGGTACGGGTTTGATCCCAGCTCTGTGCGCTAGTTTTGAGCGTCAGTTTCTCGTTGCCGACAGGCTGGCCCGCTCCTCACTGGATCTCACCCAGATCACACAGGTGCCCCTCTGCTCTGCTGACAGCTGACACCAAACAACTCATCACTCAAACGTTTCACACTAAATGGCAAAGAGCATGGTCTGCACAACCGCAAGAACTCACATCTTTCAAGCAAATACTCGGCCCACTAGCCCAACATTCCCTTCCTCGTCCACATCAAGTTGCCATCACACGGATTCGACTGGGAGTCTGCCTACTGACGCATGGCCATCACTTCACAAGCTCACCCCCATACCAGTGCTCCTCATGTCAATGCCGGCTCACTCTTGACCACCTCTTCATTAACTGCCCTGCACTGTCTCCTCATCGCAACCAACTGAAAGCTGCTTGCATCCGCCTCGGGAGTCTCCTTCAGCCTGTCCTCGCTCATAGCCCCCGAATTTCCTGCTGATATAATTATCAAGTACCTCCAAGACACCAACATGCTTGACAACATTTAGTAATCCACGAAGATGCTGAATGGGGGCGCCAATACTTCAGTCGGTGACGCGCCTCATCTTAACCAAGTAACCAAGTAAGTAAGTTTCTCGTCAGAATCGGCAGGGGAGCCGGGCGGGCACAGCAGAATTTGAAGCAGTGAGTTGCGTGTTCAAGCCCGCAAAGCGGCAAAATGCTGTAGATGTTCTGCAATGTTAAGAATCGGCGACAGGCCTACGGCCTAATAAACGCTGAAACCGCTATATATTGACTTCATTAATGATTGTCGATGGGGCACTTTAACGGACGAGGTGAGTTTGCTGGGCGGAACGTTATGTTTTGTTTATTTAAATCAAAGTTAAATACAGAATATTATAATAGCTATAGTGTCAAGCAAGAGAGTTTTTTTGCTGACCTCCCACTTCTCCGAGTGTGCTTCTCAGTTTTTTCTCCCATAAAATAGTGAACAAAAACATTAACTAGATCGGCCATTTTGAACTGAACTGAGTCTAAAAAATTCCTTATTTACCACTGTGATTTTACCTATATAAATTAGGAAGGTCTGATAGTAGCTGCTTGACAATAGTATCGATCACTCGACAGAAACTAACTTGATATATATACTTGCAAAGTTTCGAGCACGTCGATGTTCAATTTTCGAAGGTAGGATTCGTTACGTGTAAAGAGATTATAAATCAGTCAACAATGTAGAGATCCATGGTTGAAATAATACATGGTAGGGTACGCAGCCGTGCATCACTAAATTTGTGTAGATAAAAGCGGCATTAAAGCAGAAGCCATAGCGGTTGAAAAGTACGTGTCAAGGTTAAGATGAAATAGAGCGAAAGAGAAATTCAAAAGGAAAGTTGCAATTGTGTGCTGCTGCTTAGAGAGCAATTTGGAAATTCCGTCATCCAAAGTCTAGGATAGTTCTATTGGTCGTAAGAGAATGCCGGAAATTAGCGGCGTTGCTGGTGAGCGCAAAACGTTGCCGCCTCTAATTCTTTAGGCGGACAATAATCACTGAATTATGTATTGAAATTGAGAGAAAATTTTATTCGATTTCTAGTGAGTGGTATAAATTTAATGCTAGGTCTAGGATAATTATATATCAATAATAAATTGGCCAAAGAAAATTCTGATATCTGACAAATTTGGATGCCAGTCCCCAGTCTCCACTCTCTGAGTCAGAGGCTCAGTTAGTGATTAGTCCCACTCTTGGAAGTTGGAAGTTGGTCCAGGATTAAAATTTTCCTACCAATTTCTCAAATAATGCATCTCCAACTAGACAGATTTTCAATACATTTAGAATTTTGTGGCCCAATCATTAAATTTTGCTTAGGGTGTGAATTTACTCAAGTTCTAGGAGTTGGCACAGCTATGAATATTTAGGGTAAACGCGGTATATTCCGACATCGTAGGTAATTCTGTCACCTCTCCAGCTTTTCCTTTATATTAAGCTTTGTTTTAGTTCCATGCGTTCATTGATGGTTGAAATGGTGACGTCACTGACGTGACTGACGTCATTCTAGTATGGTACTGTATGGAATATATCTACTTGGCGAGCCGCGACTGAATTTTTCGAGCCGTGGTTTTATGGATTTGCCAGCCGTGATTCCATTTCTACGAGCTGTGATTCTATTTCACCGAGCTGTGAATTCCATATCTCGGCCATGAAAAGCCATTTATGAGGTGCGAATGCGAATTTATTTACAAAGTTTATGCACGTGTTACCCCAAATCTCTAATTTTACCCTTAATTAAACAGTCAAACGGCAACAATAAAATTTGTCTCTACTGTAAGTTCAGCACGTGTTAATATACAGTCTGACCAGTGACCGCTTTGACATGACCGCAACTATGCGCGATCTTCAACAAACGTTTTGTTTATTTGTTTACATTACGATGTTTATGTTTTTTCTGCAAGATATTTTTGGCGGAAACGGTAAAGCCTGTCTCTTATACACATCTAAAAATTTTATGAAATGACATGTTTGCGAAGTGCAAACCGCGATTTTTTAATCAAACAAAAATTTATGACATTCGAGCCGCGAGATTTCATACCTACTGAAATTATATGATATTAGAG